TGCCAAATAAATAAATAAATAATCTTAAAAAAAAATAATAAAAGATTTTTATTGACTTGAGACAGAGAGAGAGAGAGAGAATGAGCGGGGGGAGGGGCAGAGGAAGAGGGAGAGAAAATCCCAAGCCGACACCCAACCTGGGGCTCATCTCACTACCCTGAGATCACGACCTGAGCTGAAACCAAGAGTCTGATGTTTAACTGACTGAGCCACCCAGGCGCCCCCTACTCATTTTTTCAGGCAGCTTTATTCCGTCTCTCTCCTCTCTCTCAACATCTTCATGACGGCGTCTACATCCCATTTTTTAAGTTTCCACGAACAAATCTCTTCTGACCCCAAGCTCAAATCCCCAGAGCACCTGTAAAGATCGAGAAACAATGTCCAATCCAGCAACAAGCAGCTCTGGTGCCCCGACCGTAGGCTCTACCTGTCGGTGCCGGGACCCAGCCGCAGTGGGTGGCCCGGGCCAGGTCAGGACCTGCAGCCCCTCCCCCCCGGGGAACTGCCGCCTTGCAGGAAACGGAGGCGCAGGTGCCGGGAGGAGAGCAAGGCGGGGCAGCGGCCGGGGCTTACCTCCGGGGCTCACCTCCGGGCCTGCATCCGACGCTGGGGCCCCAGAGGCAGTGACGGCGGCAGGCGAGGCCCCGCCCGCCCCGGGGTTCCATCTGCTAGCGGAACCGGGCCCTCCGCGTTGGCTCCAGGAGCCAGGCCTCCGAGCGACAGCTCCCGGGAAGCACACGGAGGCCGGGAAGCACGGCCGACGGCGGCTTCCGATCGCACCCTTCCCTCGCTGCGACTCCGGCCAAGGTCCTTCCCCGTCGGGCCTCAGTTTCCCTAATTGCAAATACAGCCTTGGCTTGTAGTAAAGACACAAAATCACCAGCCAAGTGTCGGGGGCTGTGCTTAGCTGCCGCAGGCTGCGCCGCTGGGGACCACCCTGGCCGCCGGCGATGGGACATCACCCGCGTCACCGGGTCTGGCGCTCAGAAGAGCCCTCCCCACCCGCCAGACCTGCTCACTCTTGGCAGCTTCTAACGACTTCCGACCCTCCCCGGAAGTGACTGCAAGGTTTTCCGGGTCTGCGCGCGCAACAACCGCTGCCTCCCGTCGCCAAACGGGCAGCTCGCTCGGAGCGGGGGCCTCCCCGTGCGCCTGCGCGCTGCTGCCGCCGCGCCTGCGTAGTGTAGCCGGGCGGCAGCCGGGGTCACCCTGAGCTGCCGACTGCGCCGCGATGCTGAGCAGGTTCCTGGGCCCCCGTTACCGTGAGCTGGCCAAAAACTGGTGAGCATGTGCTCCCGGCCCCCGCCGTCCGCAGTCGGCACCCGTTATGCTACCGGGTCCCAGATGGGACGGGCGCAGAGCGGCGGGGCGGCCGGTCCGGCGCGCACGTACGAGCCAGCTCCTCATCCCTACCTGGACGGGCTGACACGGCCGCCCGCTGTCTGTCCAGCGCCTTCGGCTCGGGCTCCCCGGGGCCGACCAGGACGGCGGGGAAGGCTCCTGGGACGTTCCTGACCCTCGGAGCTGGGGTGCCCGCCGAGGCGCCAGGTGGGGGGGCGGGGCCGCGGCTGTCACTGGGGAGACAGGCGGGGGGCGTGGTGGTGGTTCGTCCTCTGTGCAGGTGGCGGTGGCAACCCTCCCGGTCCAGCGTCCCAGGCACATGGCTGACCGTGATCCGGCCGTGTATCGCCGGCCATCGGCCCTCCAGTGGTCAGCCGTGGCTGCAGGGCAGGTGGCCCCGCACAGCTTCAAACCACAAACACGTATTCCCTCGCAGTTTGTGTGGGTCAGGGGCGCGGGCACACCCGAGCTCGGCCCACCACACCGGCTCAGGAGGCTGCAGTCTCCTCCAAAGGCTCTTTTGAGGGGGTCTTTCCAAGCGCAAGGATGTGATTGTTGGCGGACCCCCTGTAGGGCAGCTCAGGTGGCAGCCGGCTTCCCGCAGAGTAGGAGCAAGCCAGAGCACCTGTGCGAGCCTCGCTCATTAGATACCAGAGACTGGGTCCTGCTCACACTCCGAGGGAGGAGGCGCACCGGGCCTGAGCATCAGGAGGGACTGTTGGAGCCACTGCGGACTCTAACCAATCACAGGACATAAGTGAGGGGTGGCCGTCCTGACTGAAAGCGAGACTCAGCTCCGTGCTGCACCATGCAGCCATGTGTCATTGGGGAGGTGGCCTGCCCTTCCTGTGCTGTGTGCTCCTGTAAGACCCAGACCTTGATACCTCCCTCAGTCCCATAGCTGTCCCATAGCTGTCCCTGGCCAGCTGTAAACTGCATAGTTGGGGCCTGCATGCAGGCTTTACCTGTTGTGAAGGGGTGGTTATGAGCTTGGATTGTTCAAATTTTCTTTTGAGCAAATTCCTCAAAAAAAACCTCCAGAAGATTCTCATGTGAAAACAGGTGGGTGTGAAGTTGCCTCAGGGTCTCCTGCTTTGTGCCCACCCCATTGTCAGAAGGATGTGTCCATACACTGGGCAGGAGGGGTGGGTGTGTGGTGGGCGCTGGATAAACGGAAGCTTGGCATGGGAGGGGGAGACAGACCCAGAGATGCAGCTGGAAGGGTGACCCCTGAGCAGGACCTGACCCCTGCTGTTCTCTGGCAGGATGCCCACAGCAGGCATGTGGGGCGCTGTGGGCACTGTGGGGCTGGTGTGGGCCACGGACTGGCGGCTGATTCTGGACTGGGTGCCCTACATCAACAGCAAGTTTAAGAAGGACGATTAAACTGACCCTCCTCAGACCCCTCTGGTAAGTTTTGGCGGCTGTTAGCAGGTGAATCCCGTGATGCCCACATGGCTGAGGACTGGGGCTTCCATGAGGCTGGTTCTCCATGCCCCCAGAACTAGGGTGGTAGGTCTGGGAGGCTCACCTGGACTATTCACCTGGGAGAATCCTGCCTGTCGACACAAAGCTGCCAACAAGCATCCCTGGTTTGTGGGCCTGGGGAATGGGCAGTGGCCCAGGGTGCTCCATCCTGGAGGCTGACTGCATCCCACATCCCAATCTCCCCCGCCTGGGTGTGACAGAGGGGTGCCCCATTTTACAAATGGGGAAAGTGGAAGCTGACCCACAGCTGCTGGCCTCCCAGGGGTTGCTGCTTGAGCCGTAATGACCCCTTGGACTCTTCCATTTGTCTCCGACGTGGCTGTCCACTGTGCCGACCACATGATAGGCCAGAGTGTACGTACCTCTTGCATCTCCATTCTACAGATGGGCCCCAGGCCATGCCGCAACTAAGCGGTCTAGCTAGACTTGATTTCGGAGCCTGGCTGCAGTGTGCGTAGCCCCTCATCACTCAGCTCCTCCCTTCTTACAAGAACAGGAGCCAGGAGTCTTGTGCTCACCCTGCCTTGTCTCCCATCCAGGTGTCTGCTGATGCTGTCTCCCGTGGGAGCCCCTGCAGTGCCCTGACCAGCCCACACCCTCAGGATGGGCCTCAAGGAAAGTGACAGCATGACTGACTGTTTCTGAGAATAGCTTTCATGTTTGAATGCACGCAGCATTAAACCTTGCTCTGAAACCTGCCGCACCTGGACATGGTCATGCTGGGGGCTTGGTTATCTTGACTGCAACCGTGGTGGTGTGAGTGACCCAGGGGTCCGTGGCTGTGGCACAAATTGATCACTTACGGTGTTTAATGTATAACATCTGTACAGAGTGTTTATCACCAGCTTGAGAAGTCACCTCACAACTCAGTAGTGTCAAACAGCACACATCCGTTACCTCTCGATTTCTGTGGGCGAGAATTTAGGAGTCGCTCAGCTGCACGGCCCGGCTCCGGATCACTCATGAGAATGCAGTCAAGGTGTCAGCTGCGGCTGCCTCATGAGAAGGGTGGACGGAGGCGGGAGGAGCCGTTCGTGCGGGTGCCTTTGAGGGGCTGCTGGTGGGAGGGAGGCCTCGGCTCCCCACCGCGTGGGCCTCTCCGTGGGGCTGCTGGAGCCGCCTTGCGTCTTTGTGGGTGGAAGCCACATGTCTTATGACCTTCCCCCAAAAGTCTTGCACCATCACTTTCTCCACATTCTGTTAGAAAACACATCCCCGCATCCAGCCCACACTCAAGGGGACGAGAACTTGGCTCTGTTTTGAAAGGAAAAACATCGGAACTTGTAGAAAAGTGAAACCATCACACAAAGGATACAAAAATGAGCAGGTACACAAGGATCTATGGCACACAAGTTTCCTCCCCCTGGCCCCTGCCCAGTTCTGGAAAATTCTAGAAACTGTGTGTGTATAAGCATATTTTTGGAAGCAGCTGTTGTGTTAGCCGTAAGGAAACCGCACAGACGGGGGGCTCACACAACAGAACTGAAGCTTCTCTGTTCTGGAGGCTGGGGGTTGAGATCAAGGTTCTGACAGGGTTGCTTCTGGTGAGTTCCTGCATCCTGCCTGCTGGCTGTGTCTTCACCAGGTCTCCCCGCCCCCAGCACACCTGCGGAGGGAGGAGCAGGGCGAGTGCTGGCAGGTGTCCCCGGACACTGATCCTGTCAGGATGGGCCCCGCCCCCCTGACCTCACCTCACCTCCTTCCATCCTGAGGCTCCAGCCGCGCTAGGGAGTAGGGCTTCAGCACAGAACTGAGGCGCGGAAGACACACATTCGGAACAGATCCCTGTCTTGAACACAAGCGGTGGCATTTGTGACACCCATCTCTGCGCATCATTCTCTTACCGAAGGCATCTTTCCTGGGGCCACGGCACTTCGGGAAGGATCCTCCACTTCCACACGGCTTAACAGTTTCCAACCTGGGGCAGCCCCCGGGGCTGTGTGGAGCCATGTGGCCTGAAGTGGAAAGAAACCTGTTTCTCCTAACAAATCTTAAAAAAATACACATTTTAAAAAATGTGCATTATTATAAGGAGTTTATTTCTTTGACACAGAGAACAAGCGGGGGGAGCAGCAGAGGGAGAAGCAGGCTCCCCACTGAGCAGGGAGCCCGATACGGGGCTCCATCCCAGGACCCCAGGATCACGACCTGAGCCAAAGGCAGATGCTAAATGAGCCACTCAGGCGCCCCCCAAAAAATAAAATTTGACATTTTGTCTATCGTGGATCTTTTGCATTCATTTTAAATTGTTACAATATTACATTAAATGCCATTCATCTTGATGACTGAGGTATCCTGTAAATTTTGTGCCCCAGTTGAGTGCCATGCTTGCCTCATTAACTCGGGGACTGTTGGCTGGGGACATCTGTGGTTGTCAAGACGGGGGGAGTGCTGGCCTAGAGTGGGCACGGTGAGGGATGCTGCTCAGTCCCCCACAGTGCCCAGGATGCCCCCAATCACCCAGCCCCAAGGTCCACAGTACTGAGGGGGGGAGACCCCGCCACTGAAAGTGGCTCCTCACATCACTTGATTTTGTTTCTATTTCTTACCTTGTGTAGATGGGTAGGAGAGGGTGTCTGCTTGGGGCCCGAGGCAGCTAGGCCAGGAAAGGGAGGTCCTAAGTGCCAACAAACCAGGAGGGGAGCATGACTGCCCATCCCCCTTCCAGGACTCCCAGCCTCTCATCTCTGCTGGCACCCCGCCCCCCCCGCATGTCCACCTGGACAAGCCCCTCAGGGGACCATCCCAGGGGCTCAGGCCAGGCAATGCCCACAGGCTTGCTGCTATGGAGGCAGCCTGGGCCTGAGGGGGGTCAAATGCCCCGAGAAGCAAGTGGGGGCCGGCAGGCTGAATGCCTGAGAATGGTGAGGGGGCACCTAGGATGCATTTTTTTTTTTTTAGGGTGCATTTTCGATGGTGGTTCTTAAGGTCAAATCTTTTTTTTTTTTTAAAGATTTTATTTATTTATTCATGAGAGACAGAAAAAGAGAGGGAGGCAGAGGGAGAAGCAGGCTCCCCAAGGGGCAGGAAGCCCAATGCGGGACTCGATCCCAGGACTCTGGGATCATGACCTGAGCCAAAGGCAGACCCTTAACGACTGAGCCACCCAGGCGCCCTCTTAAGGTCAAATCTTACGACCCAACACCATACATCCACCAATGTGGTACTATCAAAAACCAGGAAATAACAAATGTTGGCAAAGATATGGCAAAACCGGAGCCCTCCCCCAACCTCTTCGTCTCCCCGCCAGCGAGACCAGCTGGCTTCCCCTCTGAGTCCCTCCCCTCACCGGCCCAGGGCAGGTGCTCAAAAAAGATGACTGAACGAGCGCCTGGAGCTGCGGCTGGTGTCAGAAGGCCGTGTCAGAAGGCCGGACCTCCTCCTCATGCACCACTGGCGGGAATGTGAAGCGGGGCAGGCGCTGCGGAAAACAGTAGGCGGTTCTTCTAAAAATGAAACATAGAGGGCGCCTGGGTGGCTCCGTCAGTGAAGCGTCTGCCTTCGGCTCAGATCATGACCCTGGGGTCCTGGGATGGAGCCCCGCATCGGGCTCCCTGCTCAGTGGGGCGCCTGCTTCTCCCTCTGCCACTCCCCCTGCTCATGCTCTCTCTTGCTCACTCTCAAATAAATAAATGAAATCTTTAAAAAAAAATTAAACAGAATTACCATGTGACCCAGCAATTGCACTTGGGGTATACACCCAAAGACTTGAAAGCAGGAGCTTGGTCCTCCCCAGGACCTCTGACACAGAAGGTTAATACTTTTTCCTTTACATCTTCACGTGGTTTCACTGACTGCAATAAACGTATCTTTGTAACTATAGTTTTTAAGTTAAATAAAATCATACAAGCCGGAAAAAGACAAGCCCGGTAGTTACCAGCATTTCCCTGCACAAAGGGCAGGGTCATGAAGCCCTGGGTTCTAGCCTGAACCCTCCAGACAGGAATCTGGTGCCCCAAACCAGCTTCGTATGGTGACCGTTCAGGGTGCCCGCCTGCCCACTGTGTCCTTTGTCTCTGAGACAGCAGGAGGGACATTGTCAGAAGTTGCACTTAACCTGAAGCAATTAAAACAAGTTACACCTGCGCTCCACGCGGTGCTCTTGGGTTGCCCGCCCAGGGCCTGTGAAGACCCCTGCAGGGGAGACCCATGTGTGTGGACCACCCCTCTGCTTCCCTCGGCGGAGCCTGCCCCCGATCCCCACGCTCCTCAGTCTCCTGGCACCGGCCGCAGCTCCAGCCACTCGGTCATCTTTTCTTGAGCACCTGCCCTGGGCCGGCGAGGGGAGCGACCAAGAGGGGAAGCCAGCTGGTTTCTCCGCCGGAGAGAGGCGTCAAAATAGGGGCGAGACGTTTCTTAGGAAGGCCCTGGACGCCGGGAACATAAGGCGGCTGGACTACGGTGGAGCGGGGCGGGCGGGGGGCGGCTATTCCTCGATTCCAAGGCGTCGGGAGGGATTCGGGGTGTGCAGAGCGGTGGTCAACTACAGCGCCTGGAGGCTGGGAGACCAGGGGGAGGGAGGACGGGAGGCGGCGTGATGGATGGAGGCCCGGCACTGGGCGGGTAACCCGATTCGAGCGGGGACCTGGCGGCACCGGACGGGAAGCAAAAGTCCGGCCGCACAGCGCGGGAGCGGACCACGAGGCGGTCCGGCAGCTTGCCGCTCGCGGAGCCCAGGGCGCAGGCGCGGGGCGGGCCGACAGGCGAGACACGCACGGCACTAGCCCCGCCCCCTAGCCGCCC